TGTGATGGTTGAAGCCCCCAGATAATAAGGACCTGACCTGGGTTCACTGCACATTCCTCCTCCTCCCTCCGTGGTGGGCACGTTTTGGAAGCTTCACGTACATTCTTTCATTCTCACCAATGTGGGATTATGCTCCTCGTTTGCACACATGAGGAAACTGAGGCATGAGCTCGAGTCACCTCATTCCCAGCAGTGTGGCCTTAGGCCAGTTGTCTAACCCTGATGTGCCTTCTTTTCCTCCCCTTAATTAGGACGAATGCTGCCCGGCTTAGTCCTTTTGGAGAGGATGGGGGACACAGGGTGTGTGAAAGGCCAGAGTATGAGGTCCATGGATGCTGGGGACACGATGATTACCCTGCACATATTTGCCTAGAAACCTCTCGGGGTTGGTTTTTATAGGAAAGGAACCTGGGTTTGGGATTTGAGATCTCTGGCCTCCAGGGAAAGGAGAGGTAAGCGAGGCAGGTGAAGAGCTAGGGGGAAGGTGTGGTGTGATATCTCATGTTCACAGAGGGGCGGATGGATAAAGAAAGGGTGATATATCCATACATTGGGATCTTATTCAACCTTTTAAAAGAGGAAGTCCGGACATTTATGAGAACATGGAGGAAGCTTGTGCTGAGTGACATAAGCCAGTCCTAGCAGGACACGGACTGCACGGTCCCACTTAGGTGAGGAATCTGAAATAGTCAAATTCGTCAAAGAAGAACGTAGAGTGGTGGTTTCCAGGGGCTAGGAAGGAGCGAAGTGGGGAGATACTGATCACAAATCCTTAGTTATACAAGATGAGTGAACATTGTCCTGTGCTCTTAAACGTGTTGAGGGTAAATGTGTTAAGGGTTCTTCCCACAATAAAAGTTAAAACAGGAAAAACTGGCTACTGGAGAAAACAGTACCGACTCGGGGTGACAGGAGGTGTCAGGCTTCTGGATGCTGCCTGATTCTCCCTGACTGTGCCTCTCTCTGACTTTTCTGGAAGCTGTCTAATGTCTGTGAGCTTTCTATTCCAGAAGACAAAATACTTCCCTTCCTGTACACTGGGACCTTTAGACTTCCTGCGGCAGCTGAGCAGCATCTGGGGCCAGCGGAAGGCCACAGGGCCACACTGAGCCAATCACCCATCGTGGGGCCTCAGAGTAGACAACGTGTATACATCAGGAGTCGTGTTAGGACTGATGGCCACGCCTGGCCCTGCTATCAGAAATTAGCCAGAGGCATCGGCTGTTCTCGGATGGTCAGATGAGCTTCATCCGTGGCAGTGTTTCCGGTGTCTGGTTTAGCGGAGGTTCTGCCAGGAAGTGCTCGCACACGTGAGCTTTTGAAATCAGTGGTTTATAGACGTTTTCTGCTCAGGAGGCCAAATTGAAATCCTCAGTTAATGAGGAAAGAGAACAGCCCAAGAATAATACTCAGGATGTGCCTGAGAGGGTGCAGATGGCTGTAAGGACAGGGTCTCTTCTGCTTACTCTCTGCCCTCTCATTAACTTCAGAGGAAAAAACACACACAAAAAAACAGGCTCCGGGACAGAATTTAAATTTATATTCTTGGGCAGCAGGCATCATTGAACCGATTTTCTGTCAGAGACAGAAAAAAAGGCTTTTGAACCAGAGGACAGCTGGAAGGAAGAAAGCAGATCAGGTCGGCTCCTGCATTAATCAGGATGAGCTAGATCGTGCTGCAGTAACAAAGATCCCCAAATCTCAGTGACAGAAATTGACAGAGATTTATTTCTGCCCCTGGGGAGGAGGGGGAGCCTCTTCTCTACACTGGCCTCACTTGGGGATATAGGAACTTCATTATCGGGAGTGCGGCTGGATGCTATGACAAATTGTGCCCTGGCTTCTCTCACTTGTTTTGGCCACAGCAAGTTGCTTGGCTATGCCTAATTTTCAGGGGATGGGAAATAGAATCCTATCATGTGCCTAGAAGGAAGAGGACTGAAATATTTGTCAGGCACTTTATTGAATGCATCCCTGCCCCTGCTTCCAACTTCATCCCTACCTAGGCTATGTGAGCAAACAGGGAGATACCCCTCCCACTGCCCCATAGAGAAGGGGGAGCTCAATGCTCCTTGTTTGCCTCTTAGCCAAAAGGAAGAGACACTATACTATAGCAAGTTTGAGAATCAGAGTGGTGCAAGTTCCCTTCCTCCCCCGGATGACTCTGAGCAAGTTTACTGAACATTCCCAAGCGTTTTCCCCTCCCAGTGAGAAGGGAATACTATTACCTTCTTCAAAGTTATTCCTGAAGGTCAAATGAGATACCACATATAAGGATTTGGCATGGTGCCTGGTGCCTGCTACGTGCTCAAGAATGCTGTAAGAACACCTTGGTTCCTCCCTCTGTTAAATGGCGAGGAGTGCACCTCCTCATGGGGTGACTGTTGCTATCCAGTAAGTCATACCTGGGATCACTTAGTTTGTGGTGCCGGCTCATGTCATTGCTCGGGGAGTGCATTAAGAGGCTGCTGAGGATTCTTTAAGGAACTCTGGGTGGAAAGAAGAGAAAAGAGCACTGTCAGTGGGATTCAAAAATAGACATGGAGCCTCACTGAGGGGGATTTCTTGCAAGTCCATGAGGGGAATTAAAAAAGACCTAAACCAGCCCTGGCTGGTTTGGCTCAGTGGATAGAGCGTCGGCCTGCAGACTAAAGGGTCCCAGGTTCAATTCTGGTCAAGGGCATGTATCTTGGTTGCGGGCACATCCCCTTTTGGGGGGTGTGCAGGAGGCAGCTGATTGATGTTTCTCTCTCATCAATGTTTCTGACTCTCTAAAATACAATAAATAAATTATATATATATATATATATATATATATATATATATATATATATATATATAAAGACCTGAACTAGATATCAGAACTGGAAGGTCCTGGTCACCAACAAAGATATAGCATCGGCTCCTGTGTGTGATCAGGCAGCCTCTCCGTGACTCAATACAGACTCGGCTCTCCCTTCGTGGCATCTCTTTATTTCCTGCCTCCTACCCCGTGGCCCCCCAGCTCCTGCGCCTCAAGCTCCTGGTGCTTCGTGGCCCCTACTTTACTGTCCTCTCCCTTTCTGTAGCTCCCTGCCTCCTGGTGGCTATTTGCAGGTGATATGCTTATCCCAGCTCCATTTATCTGGGTGGAATAGATGGGAAGGAAGGCAGATCTTGTGATACAAAGCCAGTGGTTAAGAAGACAGGGTAATGGAATGGGTAGCCCATACCATTTGTTAGCTGATGCTCAGTTTTCTCGCCTGTATAATGAAAATAATAACAATATTCATCTTACAGAATGGCCATGAGGGGATCTCAGGGTCCACTGTCATTCTTATTGTCTCTCTGATTGGAGAAATCAGTGCTGGATGCTAGGAGGCACGGGGCAAACAAAAAAGGGCAGCCATGATGGGGCTGCTTCTCCAGAGCACTGCTGAGCCAAACAGGGCACTGGGGGCACAGCCAACTGCACCAAGCCCCGGGGTGGGCACCTTCTAAACTCACACTCCGGGAGAGCTGGAGTCTGCATTCTTCTTCTTCTTCTTTTTTTTTTTAATAAAGATTTTTAAATTGCTTTTTTAGAGAGAGGAAGGGAGAAAGAGAGAAACATCAATGTGAGAATTGAAACATCAATCAGCTGCCTCCTGCATGCCTGCCACTGGGGATCAAGCCCACACCCCTGGGCATGTGCCTGGATCAGGAATGGAACTGGCAACCCCTCGCTGCATTGAATGATGCCCAGCCATCTGAGCCACACCAGCCAGAGTTCAACACTGGTCTGCCACCCTTTCTTAAAGGGCCAGATAGAAATATTTTAGGCTTTGCAGCCAGACAGTCTCTATTACAGCTGCTGACCTCTACTGTTGAAGCAGCCCTAGATAGTTCATAAATGGACAGGCATCGCCATGTTTCAATAAAAGTTTATTTGCAAAAACAAGTGGCAGGCAGGAATTGGCCCGCCAAGGAGTTTTGCAGCCTGCCAGAGGAGGAGGCACGCTGAGTGCCAGTCTCCTGGGCTCCAGCGCTGCTTCCACTGTCCGTCAGTCCAGACCATCCCCGTCCTCAGGAGCCCTTTGGAGGCACATTTAGGAAAACTCACAGGGAAGTCTTCCCTCAGAGTTCCTACAGCAATGCATTCAAGGCACTTTTGCAGCAACGCCGTAGATTTATGGAACCAATTAGTGTTCCCTGTGGCTTCAGAGGTCTCCTGGAGGGCTCGCTTTAGGGCTGAGGGTACTCTGTCAGGGTACGGCCTTGGCAGCGGGTGTCAGCAGGAGCAACATGCTTTCGAGATGACCCGGGGAGGAGCTGAGTATGGGGCACCTGCTTTCCTGGAAACATGCACCCCGTGCATTGTCTCCTGGCCCATCTCTTGAAACCCCATGTGACTTCATCAGTACTGCCCCAGGTAGGGGCATGGAGAGCCAAGGCTCAAACACAAGAGGGTCACAGATGTGCATCTCCGCTGGGATCCATTGCAAGGACCATTCGTTCTCCAAAATGCCCAGGGGCGTCTCTCCTTCAGAACTGAAGCTGGGGCACTGTCTTATTTCTCTTACGAATGTAGGTCTGTTACTACATCCTGAAGGCAGTGGAACGTATATAATATCCTACTGATATTCTCTCCCTTATAACTTCACTATGGCTTCGCCAGCCCTTAAATAAGCCATCAGGGCACTCTCTGCTGATATTTAACAGGAAGCTGGAACAAAATGCCCCTAATCCGGCGGCAGAGACAGTCCAGGACACTTCCTTGAACGGGCGGTACCGTTCATAACAAGCCTGGGGACTCACAGGCCTAGCCCTCCTTTCTAGTAAGAGCATCTCGGGTTTCCAAATGGGGAAACTGAGATCCAGAGAGAAATGTCTTACCCGAAGGTAAGCTCTTGGCAGAGGTGGGAACTAAAACCAGGGTGCAGACTCCCACCCCTCTGTGCACCCCTCTCCAAGGGCCAGCCTGGGTAGCGTGATCGCTGAGTAAAATTTATCTTCTGTGTCTCTTTCCCCGTCTCCTCCAGGATGGCTACTTCTCTCACCGGCCCAAAGAGAAAGTGCGGACAGACAGCAACAACGAGAACTCGGTCCCCAAAGACTTTGAGAACGTGGACAACAGCAACTTCGCCCCAAGGACTCAGAAGCAGAAGCACCAGCCCGAGCTGGCCAAGAAGCCCCTGAGCCGGCAGAAGGAGCTTCTGAAAAGGAAGCTGGAGCAGGACAAGGGCAAGGGGCACCCCTTCCTGGGCAAAGGCGCCAACGAGGTGCTGCCTCCGGGCGAGAGAGCCCCCGGGAACAGTAGCCGCGGGAAGGAGGCCCTCCGACCGCCCCACACCAGGAAAAGCGGGGGCGGCTCCCCCGAGATCAAGTATGACCAGCCCCCCAAGTGCGACGTCTCGGGCAAGGAGGCCATCTCCGCCCTGTCCCGCTCCAAGTCCAAGCACTGCCGCCAGGAGATCGGGGAGACCTACTGCCGCCACAAGCTGGGGCTGCTGATGCCGGAGAAGGTGACCCGCCTCTGCCCGCTGGAAGGTAAGCCCAGGCCCGAGGCTGGGCCGGGAGAGGTGCCTCCTCTCCAGCTCTCCCTCCTGCCCGGCCCCCTTCTGCTCACACTCTCAGATCTGCTGAGAACGGTCACCCTAGTTTTCAAACCCCAAATCGGGTTACAAGACGTGGCTTCTTTGGTAGCCCCTGAATTCTGAAGTTTCCCACGGAAAAGTATTTTCAGTATCAAATTGCCTTTAGTTCTAGTTTCAATTGAACCAGGTGCCATTATGGCAAAGGAGGGAATACCGTGAAACCAGGCTATGGTGGAAGCGGCAGAAGGTGAGGTGACTATGCTGATAGAGTTGGTTTTCTGTCTGGGCAGATTATCGGGATTAAAACTGACACTGATATTATTGCAATCAAATATGATCCGAAAGGTTTCTAATTGGTTGCATTGACTTTGGAGGCTCTGAAAACCAGCCTTCCCATTTTCCTCCATCTAAAATTTCTTCCTTCCTTCCTTCCCTCCCTCCTTCCTAAATTTTCCTAATTTTCTTCCTATTTTCTTTCTTCGCCATTTCCTATTCCTCACTTCCCCTCCCTGTCTCTCTCCTCTGCCCTGAGCTGGACACTCCTCGTGTGCTGGTTCCAAAAAAGTTCCATTTACAAATCCTAAAAATAGACCTTTCAAAAGTTCTGCTTGCAAATGCATATCTATGCTCATTTCAAATGATAACAGTTACAGTTTAGTGAGTATGTTAACAAGCACCTGGCTCTGTGCTAAGCATTCAAATCAACCCAGCAAAGAAGGTACTATTATTGTCTGCAGGGACCCTGACAGAGTCAGAAACTTGCCTGAGATGCAGAAGCAGAGCTCTTGCTGTGAGAGGTCAGCACCGGCTGTATTGGGACAGAAGTCAGCGCATCAGGAAAGCCAGCCACAGGGCTGATTCAGGCGTGGGGTGGAGAGGCGGGACTTTCGATCCCCCTGACAGGGATGGACCTAGAAGGCAGTCAGGGAAGCCTCTCCCAAGCGGCCTTCCTCTTCTGAGCAGCTCTGGTGTCCCTGCATCTGTCTGGATGCAGAAGGGCGATGCGTGGTGACAATGGCTCCCAAGGAGCAGCAGGCTAGAGAAAGCTCAGTGCCGTTTATCCACTGGACAGACGGGAATACAAGGCCCATGGAGGGAAGGAGACTTACCCAGACTCACCCACTGGACCAGAGGCTGAACTTGAGCTAGAACCCAGGCCTCCTCTGTAGACAGGAGCCTCTGTAGAGACTGCCGGTCCCAGAAGGAAGGACTGGGACCAGGTTGGGAGCAGCCCTGTGTGCCACGGGCACAGAGAGGCCTGGAAGGATGCATGGCCAGCTCTTCCGGTGGCCCCTGGGCGAGGTGCAGTGGGGACAGCCTCCCACATTTTACCCAAGTTCATCTGTATTTTTTGAGTTTTCCGCGCTTCCGCTTTCCGAGGTTCCAGTTACCTCCAGTCAACCAAGACCTGAAAATATTGGCAACAATGGAAAAGTCCAGAAATTCACTAGTTTTACATTGTGCGCCGTTCTGAGTAGCATGATGAATTCTCACGCTGGCCCCGTACCTCCCACCCGGGACGAGAGTCACCCCTCTCTGCAGCACGTCCTCACTGTATATGCTCCCACCCACTGGTCACTCAGTGGCCATCTGGGTTATCGGAGCTACTGCCCTGGTATCGCTTGTGTCCAAGTTATTCTTATTTTACTTAATAGTACCGCATCCACATAACCTTTATTACACTGTTATAATTATTACGTTTTATTATTGTTGTTGTTCATCTCTTACTGCGCCTAATTCATAAATTAAACTTTACCATAAGTATGTATGTATAGGAAAGAATATAGCATAGACAGGGTTCAGTGCTCTGCAGTTCCAGGCATCCACTGTGGTCTTGGATAAGGGGGTACTACTGTACTAGTATATCGGACACTGTTCCTGCCATATATTGCAGTGAATCCTCACACTAGCCTATGTGGCAGATCTGTTATCCACCCATTTTGTTGATGAAGAAACCGAGGCTTAGAGAGACTGAATACTTGGCCAGAGAAACACAGCTAAGTAGATGGCAGAGCTGGGCTTAGAACTCGGGTTTGAGAGTGTGCATCCTTTCCCACAGCCTCTGCATCTCCTGGAGGCTAACGCTCCCATTTGAGCTCAGATTGCCAAATCTCAGGGATGTCCTTACAGCCTGCAGACTGCATCTCTCTGTCATCTGTTAGTTGCAAGAGGAAGAGAGGGCATTAATAGGAAAAAACAGGGGATGTCCCCAGTGGAGGCCAAGGGTCTCCATGCTTCTCCTGGTCATACTGAGTCATCCCTCGTGTGAGTTTTTAGGGTGAATTTGCTGGGGGTTCCCTGTGGCCTTGGCTGCATCAGCCAAGGTGGCACAGCCGCCAGGACGGTTAATAAGGTTGGCTTTTAAGAGCCGTTGCACACCCAGCCCTGGCAATGCCTTAATTTGCTGCACCACAGCCTCCTCTTCTGCAATAAATTTAGTGTGAATAGACTAATTGCAAAATAACCCTAATTGGATAGTTATCAATGAACAAGTTCCCGTGGAACAAAACGGCTTACAATTAATAGCATTTAAGCCATAAACTATTCTTCTGCAGAAAGCTAAGATGTAATTACACCCCATGCGGAGATTGTGTTCCCTTTCTGGAAACTGTGACACCCAGATTTGCCTCCGCTTAGGAAGGATTTGAGCTCCAGCCCACTGGTCCTTTTATTTCCTGCTAAATGGAGAAATGACAGTGGGAGGAGAGAGAAATGTAGTACATGCATAGATATACATAACGCACATGCGTGCATACACAGATGTACGCACGGTGCTTGTCATTTAGCTGAGTTCAGCGTCGCCCAAACTTCAGCAGATACGATGCCAGAAGTTGAATGTAATTAAGGAAGCAATTCCTCTTGGCCTGAGGACTGAACATTTCAGAAGAAAGAAAATAGATTTGATTTGATTTATTTATATTTTTTTGTTACTCCTCGCCCAAGGATATTTTCTCACTGATTTTTAGAGAGTGGAAGGGAGGGGAAGAGACAGAGAGAAACATTGATGTGAGAGAGACACATTGATTGGTTGCTTCCTGCACATGTCCCAACCAGGGCCAGAGATCAAACCTACAACAGAGGTAAGCAATCAAACCAGGGGACCCTTGAGTTCGCAGCCAGTGCTCTAGCCAATGAGTTAAACCCCCTGAGGCAAGAAAATAGATCTTAATTGTTGAGTTTTACAAAGGACCGCTGCTCCTCCCACCCCCAGCGCCTCCTGTCCCTTGCCCAGCACCACGTGAGGGAAAGGAAGTGTCTAGAAGCCCAAAAGATGGTTTGCTTCCTATGAACACAGCCCTTGTGTTTGTGCCTTGGCCACTTCACTCTCTGCCTCCCAGAAAAGGAAGCTGGAGGGGTGACGGCATTCACCAGGAAAGCAGGGGTCTGCAGACCGTCCATTAACAATCCCCTAGCTGAGATGTTGTGAGGGGCAGGATGGCCCCAGGTGTGCTTATTTCCAATCCAAGTGCAGGCCCTCATTCCCCCCAGAGCCCCTGCGCTCACTGTAGCAGCCAAGCCGCCACCCCCTCCCCCCCACCCATCCCCCGTTCTGCACCCAGGCAGCTCCGCACCCCCTAGCTCCCACAGTTGCCTGGGCCTCCTGTCCCTTCCTTGGGCTCCACAGTAACCTGAGGGCCTTCAGTCACACCAGCTGGACCTCCCAGTGGTTCATGGAAATGAAACCGAGTCAGCTGGAAAGCCAATGGAGGCCTGGGCTGGAAAAAGGTGTTTTTCATTCAGAGATCTTCAGGCCTGGGGTTTGAATCCCAGTTCTGCGTTTACTAGCTATGCGGCCCTACCCTCCCAATGCCTCAGCTTTCTCATCTGTAAAATGGACACAGAACCTCGTACCTTGTCCTCATAGGACTGTGGCAGAAGCGGGATTGTACAAATAAAATGCTTGGTGTAGTGGGGGCTCAGGTAAAGCAGATGTGTCTGGCTGTTGGCAGTAGTGAGGTTAGCAGTGTACAGGAGGGGGATGTGGAGAAGAGAAGAAAGCCAGCTCTGATGGTGACCTCCCATTGCCTAGCCCCATGCTCGGCAAACTGCGGCTCATGAGCCACATGCAGCTCTTTGGCCCCTTGAGTGTGGCTCTTCCACAAAATACCATGGCCTGGGCGAGTCTATTTTGAAGAAGTGGCGTTAGAAGAAGTTTAAGGTTAAAAAAATTTGGCTCTCAAAAGAAATTTCGATCGTTGTACTATTGATATTTGGCTCTGTTGACTAATGAGTTTGCCGACCACTGGCCTAGCCCCATCTCTCTCTGTTCTTCAGATGGGGCCCAGTGTGCCTCAGGCATTCCCGCATAGTGCTCCACCCCCGCTCCATCCCACCTTCTCTGGCTGTCACCTCCTTTTACTCCAGATTGTAGCCCTAAATGCCACCTCTCTGGGAAGCCTTCCCAGACCACTCCCTTCCCCCGACGCCCTGGCCACAGGGGCACACTGAACCGCGTGAGGGACAGAGGTGGCTTTCCCAATAAGTATCTTTCCTAATAAAGACTGTTCGACCGTAAGAGGCATGCTGGCGCGGGGAGCTAGGTAATGCAACTTCTTCTGCCTCATTACCTTTGGAACACATTAGGAAGCTCCCTTCATCTCGAGCTAAAATATGCCAAGAAAGGCCCCACTGGTTATCCTGGCCCCTCCCGCCTCACTTCACCCTTCCCTGGGCCAGCTGAAGCTGTGACTGCAGCCCCGATGCCAGGTGAAGGACGCAAGGTGAGCAATGTGAGAAAGCAGTGGGCGGGGAAGGGATGGCTGCCACCTTAGCGGGAGCTCGGGTCCGAGCAGCTGAGGAGGCTGCAGCTCTGGTGAGTGGTGAGCGAGGATTCTGCATCAGCCGGCTGGCTACAGGGCTGCAAGCTTTCACTCGGGACTGGGGAAGCCGGCTCAGGATCAGAGTGAGGGTTTCTGATAGAAAGGTAACTGTCTGTGTTTTTACCCAGCAGCT